TGACAACAGAGTTCATGAAATAAAAATATTATCCAATTCTAATGCAGAAACAACATTTGATTCCCACACAGAGCCAAGACCATTCTCAGCAAAAGGCCCAAGGAGCTGAGAGGGAACAGAATTAGAACATTTGACTTAAAGTGGTCAAAGGGATATTCTATACCATATGATATCATGCGAAAGGAATTTTGAAGGGGGTGGGAGTTCATGTCTCTCTTCCACTTCGTGGGGGGCTAGTTGGGCATCTTTCAGTGGGTGATGAGCAATTGCTTGTGCACCACTTGTTACATACATTCATATGAGTTTAATCTCAACCCACGAGTTCTACTTTTTTTCCCCAATTTTCTTCCCCATCCCACTGGGAAAGTGAGGAGTGAGCAAATGACTGTGTGGTGCTGAGCCACCTGCTGTGTTAAACCACAACACTCCCCTAGGCAAACAGACACCCGTACTACATTGCCTGGACAGATAGATAGTCTTATCAAACCCACAGACAGACAGACACCCTGACACTGCCCTAACATGGGCAGAGCTCACTGGCTGCCCAGTGGCCATGCCAGTGTTGCTGTACCTGCAAACTGCTGCTGCATGGTGAAGCCAAAGGTGAGATGCTTACAGAGTTGACACCAGGATCTGCTTTTTGGTGGCTGCCACTGCCATGTGGTAGGAGCTGGAAAAGATCCTGGCTATGTTCAGAGCTGAGAGGGTCATGTTGGAGCCCAGCTTGCTCCTCCACAGGCCCTACAGGTGACTCTGGGGACTGGGAGGACATGCCAGGGTGGTAAAGGCATGGCCATCTTGCATGGGGCACTCATGCCAGTCTAAGGGCAGCAGGGACTGGTGGCACTGGCAGTGGTTGGGCCTGCAGCTCTCCTTCCATAGCAGGACAGGGCTGGCCTTGTGCTCTTAAGGGAATGTGGGTACCATGTGTGCCAAGGGGGAGCTGCCCATTGCCAGCCCTCAGGAAAGCACAAGAGCCGATGGTCCCTTTGGTCATGTATGATGCACCCTGGGATGGCACAGCATGGTACAGTGCAACACAGTGCAGCATGGCACAGTGCAGCACAGCATAGTGTGGCATAGCATGGCACAGCACAGCGCAGAAAGACACAGCATGGCACAGCAAGGCACAGCGTGAAACAGTACAGCAAGGGTGTGCAGTCCCTTATCCTGTCACCCTTCTGGCCAGGAATGGCACAGTACAGCACAGTACAATAGCAGCATGTTACTACCACAACCACACACATTGCACTCCAGTGATGGAATGGCTCAGCTGTTTAACCCAGAAGGCAGCTGAGAACCACACAGCCCTTCACTCACTCCCCCCTCCCAGTGGGATTGTGGAGAGAACTGGGGAGAAAAAAAGGTAAAACCCGTGAGTAGTTAAAGATAGATAGAGATATAGATGTAGATATAGATAAAGATAGTATAATAGGACAGAAAAATAAGGGAAAATAATAATAATAGTAATAATAATAAAATAATATACAGAACAAGTGATGCACAACACAATTGCTCACCACCTGCCGACCAGTTCCCAGCCAGTCCCTGAGCAGCAGCTGCCCCCCCCCCCCCCCCCCCCCCCCCCAGCCAACTCTTTCCAGTTTTATAGTTTTCTAACATGATGCTATATAGTATGGAATATCCCTTTGGTCAGTTTAGGTCAGCTGTCCTGGTTTTGTCCCCTCCCAGCTCCTTGTGCCCTCCTAATTCTCCTCTCTGACAGAGCAGTACAAGAAGCTGAAATGTCCTTGGCTCTGAGCAGCACTGTTCAGCAACAACTAAAACTCATAAGCAGACATATTTATACCATACAATATGCACACTCATAATACCGTGAACTAAAAAATGCTCACTCACTCTGACAGTGGGTTGTTCAATGCTAACTAATTCCGCGAATGTTTTCTTGTTTTTCACTTCTTCTTGGACCTGCGCAGTGTATTGTTTGGTCCTTTTGAGTTTGGTTTCTTTTGTGGTGATTGGTCTGGTTTCTTATCTGAAGGCGCTAGACCTGAAATCCCAGGAATTTCCTACTTTGCAATGTACTACTGATAAGCGAAAGCCTTGCCCCATTTCTAGCAAGCCCCTCCCAAGTCCCGGCTATACCTAGCAAGCCACTCCTTAATCTCCGCCTCTGAAGTGAGCGCACCTCCCTTCAGTTATTTCCATGAAATCCAAGTGGGGGGGGATCCTCCCCCACCCCCCTGTACACCCCCCTGTACAGGGACTACCCTAGGGTCTCTGCCTCCAATCACTATGATTCTTTGAGGAGCGGCAGAAGCAGTATCTGCACCCCAGCATTGTTGCCAGACTAGGACCCCACAGGGCCACCCTCCCATGGATGCAAATGTTAGTGCCAACCCTGTGGTGATGGAGGGGTAGGTGTAAGAGTGGAGTCTATGGCAGCAAACGTCTCTAGGTCTCACTCCAGTGCTGAGAGGCACAGAGCACAAGGCATGCTGCCCCTACTGGCCGCCAAGTTGCTGCCTCTGCCCCAGGCTCACATGATAGCTTTCCAGACATCACTGATGCCATCAGTACATGATCGCATGAGCCCCATGGTCCTCAAGATCTCTTCCAGGAGCTGGTGGCAAGTTAGTCACAGGCTACCCCAGCAGCCTCCCATACAGCATGGTGACATTTTAGTACCAGTGATGGTTTGTCTTCTGAGAGACAGGAAAGTTCAAAGC